AACTTTTTAAACCTGCTTTAAAAAATTTGATTTGATTGAGTATTCACAAAGTTATTCTAATTGTTTGTAAGTACAAAAATTCGACCAATGTTTAAACAAGCGCCAGAGCTCTCCTAATTGAGGGATTCGAATTTTTCAAAAAGCGTTTGAAAGCTTGAGAGCCCTTCTATATGTGATCAAATTTTCAAGTATCGAAGGGTCTTGGTTTTTGCTGTGCAAAATTTTGAAAATTTGCAATTTTTTTTTCAAAATCTGGATTGCAAAATTATTATGCAAAATATATCGAACGATTTTGCTGAAATTTGGTGAGATGATTCCACATAACATGAACTTTTCTTGAGCCAAGTATGAACGTGCTATACCCAACTTAAATGCCCCAAAAAATTTCCCTAAAAAGTTATGTTTTTAACCCCATTTTTGTCGATTTTTTCGATTTTTACAATAATAATCATGATTCATTCGATTTGTAACTAGTGAAATTTTGTAAAATTTAATTACAAACATTTTTTTCCTCTTCCATTTTTGCCTAAAATCAACTCTTGAAGAGATACGTAATTAAAGAGGAAGAAAAATATGACATTTTTCAAATTTTTTTAACATAATGCGCCGTCAAAAGTTAAGCCCACGTTTTTTTTTATGCGCATAGAAAAATTTTCATTTCTAGTGATATTTGAAAGCCAAAAAGCCAGAAATCTCCGTGGATATACGATTCACACAAACCAAAACAGATACCGCCTAGTCTAATCGTCCACTTTTGAATTATTGCACATATATATTTTTTTGTATAAAAGTAACAACAATGCTCATCGCAGGGTGCTGGGTCGGAACATTTTATATTTAAGTATTTAAACACTGTTAGTATTTGATTATTGATTAGATTTGTACTTTTTATTATTTATGTGGGCTACTTGTACAGTCGGTAGAGGGTTGTAAATTTTACTATTATAGACGCTTCCCTATTATAAGTTCTTAAACAAACGATATAGAGCAATATTTTATTATTGTTATTAAGTTTTTCTTATAAAGAATAAAAAAATAACTTCAATTCTGTTTTTCTTTTTTTTTTTTGTTAATTCTGCGTAGAAAATTAAGGAACCGTTGTGCCTTATGAAAGGAACGAAAGAAATGTTATTAGAAAAGTTATACACGCAACATTCTGCAGATTTGTTGTAGATATTTAAAAAAAAATAAACTATTGTGAAAAGAATTATCTTTTATTACCTTGTATATATATATTTTGTCAATTCTTAACAGTTTTAAGTAGATCGTATTGTTAAAGTCAAAATATACCACACACGACGTTCGGCAAAGAACGAGCTCAAATTTTAAATCGATTTGGTAAATACAAGCAAACGAAAGTTTATATAAAACATCAGAAATGTACCGTCAACGACATAAAAGTCTTTTGAGGAAAATACGTTGGAATTAATTAGATAACCCTTTCCGTTTCAGTTTTTCAAAAGAATTTTTATAAGAAATAACTAATGGCATTTTTGCACTTGGTACGCATCGAGAGCAAAAGTACAGATAAATCGAAAACAATAAATCCTAACACCATGATGTACAAAAAAAAATTAAGTATACAGGGTGTGCTATTTGACACTCCCATCTCCGAAATGAAGAAATTTATTTTAGTTCCGGGAACTGGGGTCGTTAGGTCCCTCGAATAGCTTCAAATTTCAGTTAGAATTGTTTAATTGTTAGTTCAAATCTTTCTGTATAGATGGCGTGGCGATACTACAAAATTTTTTTTCGCTGGAACGTGAAAATACAATCCGTCTGAACGATCGTTAAATTTTGAGTAATTTTTGTAATATAAAGTTTTTCCCAGTATTTACTTGTTTTCGAGACATGTCGACTTCAATATGCAATGTATGATGTAACAGGAAAATCTATTATTTTATTTAAATCACACTGAGACAAAATCGACGCTTTAGTACGAAAACATGCTATCTCAGATCTTTAAGTAAAAACATGCTATCGTTACCATCATAAACGATAAAATTGTTAATTAAAAAATAGAATAATATGCAGTATCCTGCAACAGGTACATTTCTCGACGTTTTTTGAAATAACATAAAAAAATAGAGTATACCTTAATATATAAAAATGTTTGTTATTACTAAAAATTATTCGATTTTTTTCATACAAGTTTGGTTTGATATCAAAATTAATAGCTTACTCTTATCTGATTTATAGTCGCTACTCTTGATACTTATTTTTCTGCAGAATTTATTCTGAAAATAATTTTGTGTGTCTAATGCAGACTGCAATAAAAATAATTATATAGTGGACCAGGCTAGGCCCCAAACTCCGGAGCCGAATCGTTTTTACTGCACCTCAATAAAAACAGGGTAGCCGCGTCCTTGCATAGACTTTGGAAATGAAATGCAGGTATGCGACACTTTTATTACCGGTACTTTATGATCTGCTAATGATAAACATGTGTGCATAAAGAACCGCGGAAATGTGCACGTGCATATCATACGCGCCCTTCACATCGATATATACATATCATTCAACTTTATACATTATATTTATATTCTGATTATTATGTTAACTTTATTAATAAAAGTAAGAGTAGTGACTATAAATCAGGTAAGAGTGCCCTATTAATTTTTATATCAAAGCAAACTTGTATGAAAAAAATCGAATAATTTTTAGTAATAACAAACATTTTCATATATGTTTTTTATAATTTGTTATTTCAAAAAACGTCGAGTAATGTACATGTTGCAGCATACTGCATATTATTCTATTTTTTTAATTAACAATTTTGTCGTTTATAACAGTAACTTAATTAAAATTAATTGAAAAATGTTGAATAAAAAAAATAAAATAAACAGTGTACCTGAACATAAATATTCCTTACTTTTTGAAAAATATATTATATAAGTTTATTATAAATGCACGGTTTCAATCATTCAATGTGCCAACTTAAATTTCTAATCAAACTGAGATAGCATGTTTTTACTTAAAGATCTGAGCTAGCATGTTTTCGTACTAAAGCGTCGAAATATTTCGACTTCTTCGATTTCTTTTAAAATATTGTTGTAATGGCTTTATTCACACCGCATACTAATTAACAATAAATTATAAAAAAAAAACAAATGATTTATGGTTCTGACAGGATGGAGAATACTTAAATCAGGGGTTTCCGGGAAAGTGGTTAGGAACTAACGGAGTTATAGGGTGGCCGGCTCGTTCACCAGATTTGACCCCATTGGATTTTTTTCTATGAGGTCATTTAAAAAACACTGTATATCAGGACCCTATAGAAGACATGGCAGATTTGTACAATAAAATTTATGCAGTTATGACGGCTTTAGATCGTGACACATTATTAAGAGCCTGTAATGTCGAACTAACGAGAAGACTAACATTGTGTATTAATGCTGTCGTAATTTTGAACGTTTATTGTAACCTTTGTTTTCACTTATTTCAGTAACTACTTCTACATCTTCGTTATTATTTTAAATACCAATAAAAAAAAATGCGATTTTTGTAACATAACCTCAAATATGTCAAAAAATCGCGGTTTTTGTACTTTCAGGTTAGGATATCTCGAAAACCAGAGTCAATTGAGAAATTTGGACCTCGGATTACATTTTATAATAGTGTAATATCTGAATTTTCTGGATTATTTGAATATTTGACTACACGCCACCTAATTTCGAGCATTATTTGTATTATTCAAATAATTCGAATAAATATTGAAGTAACTATTCGAATATGAAATCATTATTGAAAGCATAATTTATGATAAAGTTCCACCAAACACCAATTTATACAGGGTGTTCCTAAATATCATGTACATAAGGGAGGGAGTAATTCTTTGGTTTATTTCATGACTAAAAATTCATATAAATATAGGTCCGCAAACGCTTCGTTACCGATCTACAGGGCGTTAAAATTTTAAGATTTTTTTAGTTTTTTCTCCATAGCTCCCACAGATTTTGAGATATTTAGCTCAAATTTAGAATATAGGTTACGCTGTAGGGCTTACATCATTGGGCATACCAAATGGTCGTGATATTTTTTCGGGGGTCATGCCCCTTTTTCTTCCCCTGAACTTTTATAGTGCCCTGCTGGTATATTCTAAAATCAAAATTGAATTTTATGTTTTGTTGAGAAACTTTTTGGTACCTTATGATTTTTTTCGTATTTGTGACCCTTATCGAGAAAAAAAAAAATTAAAAATGATTTTGTGTAATTCGTAATTGAAATTCTTAAAATGGTCCAGTAGGTCCTGGATTTATTTGCATAATCTCGTATTTGAAATCGTAACTTGGGTTTGAATGTTTATAAATTAAATGTACACAAATCATTTTTTATTTTTTTTTTCGATAACGTTCGCAGATACGAAAAAATCATAAGAGACAAAAAGTTTCTCAACAAAACATAAAATTCAATTTTGAATTTAGAATGTACCAGCGGTGCACCGCACAAAATTTCAGGGGAAGAAAAGGGGTTATGACCCCCGAAAAAATATCGCTCTGTAGAATATCACGACCATTTGGCACGCCCAACGATGTAAGTCCTACAGCGCAAACTATATTCCAAATTTGAGCTAAATATCTCAAAAATTGTGGGAGCTATGGAGAAAAAACTAAAAGAATCTTAAAATTTCAACGCCCTGTAGATCGGTAACGAAGCATTTGCGGACCTATGTTCGTATGAATTTTTTGTCGTGAAATAAGCCAAAGAATTACCTCCTCCCTTATATACATGATATTTAGAAACACCCTGTATTTGCTCAAACCCCTAAAAATGTTATTGATTAAAAGATTGGACACAAAAGTCTGAAGTTTTTTTTAAATTTATTCGTAAAATACAAATTTTGCTGTTAATCCGTTACTTATTTTGTTCTTTGCAGTTTCTGTATTCTAAAATAAAAGTTAATCATTTTTATGAAATTAGTCCAAAGTCAAAGAACACGAAAATGTTGCAGGAAAAATTTCTAGTCTCAAATATGTTCTGTTTCAATAAAAATCTTTACATATTCTTAAAATATATATTTTTTTAAATCTGAAGGATCATATTTGAAAAACGATACATTTCAGGATCTACGTCTATATAAATGTTTTGCTTGTTTTTAGCCTTAAAATTTGTGCACTCCTTCACAAGACACCCTGTATAGTAAAACAAATATTTCCTCAATCCTCCGTTCACGGCTGTACCTATTATATGTTTAATTCACATACGCATAAAATTATAGTTATTTGAAATAAAAAAAATAATAATAAAAATTGTTATCTCATAATCGTTACCAAAAAAACTACTCGTTCTCGGCAACCTTCTTCTTCTTCTTTTTCTTTTTTTTTGGAGACTGTTCCCCTCCCTCGACACTTCCATTAACCTCGGGAACTTCCTCTGAAACCTCGGGATTATTCTTCTTCTTTTTCTTCTTGGGAGGCTCGGTGTCTATTTCCCCGTTAACCTCGTCTTCAGCCGTGGCGGCTAACGCTTCTGCCTTTCGCTTCTTTTTCTTCTTCTTCTTCTTCTCGGACTGCACCTGCAACTCCTGTTGGAATTCCTCCATGGCCTCCTTCATCACCTCGACATTCTTCTTTGGGACGTCGCCGGTTTCGTAAAATTTAAGTCTGTCCTCAACTTGCTGTCGTAACTTTTCCCCAAATATATGCGAGGGTGTTTCTGCGAAACAGTCGATCCTGGAGGCTATGGAACATTTGTTAGCGAGGTATCTGGAAATGCGGCCTTTGTTCTTGGATCCCGCTCTGCCGATGAAAGTCGAGTGGTAAATTAACCCGTATTTAGGAGTATTTCCTGAAACCGTAGAAATGTGTAAGTATACGGTGATTTATGAACATTTTTTGTGACATTCCCATTCCCGTTACTTAGAAAATGTACCTACAATCCGTTAATCGTCAAATAAATCCAAATGGCAAATAATAAAGGTGTAGGAGCATTTCACAAGTAATGAACGATTAAACGAATGATTAAAATAAATTTCTAATAGTACTATCCATTTTTCTTATTCAGAGTTGATATGGTCGGAGCCTACTTTTTGTCAGTAGAAAACGATGTTGTTGCGAGAAGACGAAATCAGATGGATTATCCCGAGCTGTAAGTACCGAATACGAAAGCTTGTAAAATTGGTTCAATAATAAAGATATTATAAGAGCTTAATATGCGAAATGTTGGACGGAAACAGCCTAAAAAACCTAATCTCCACTTAGAGTTACTCACCTCTCGTTTTTAGTGCCCTGAACAATGCCTTTTCAGCTCCCAAGATCTGAACGGTGGAGGCAGGGTATTTAGCGAGGTTCGTCAAAGACCCCGCATGAGCTATGAGCCTGGCACCGACCTGATCGCCGATCAAAGTAGCCAAATTTGGCGCGACGTCACCCATTTTCGTACTGAGATATTCCGCCAATTGTTTCCTGTAATCCGCTAATGAAATCACTCTCACGGCAAACATTTCGATATTTAGTAGGTCGACCACACTGATATCCATCCCCATGCTGGATCTGGACGCGTCTAGAATAGCCCTAGCCTTTCCAGAATCCATTGTAATTTCTTCAAGTCCGTCTAAAGATTCTTCACTAAGTTCCTTACGATTTTTTATAAACTTGGCGAGTTTCGCGTATGTGTAGTTTTCTGGCACTATTTTTACCAATTCTGGGAAATGATACGAATACCATTCACTGGAAATATAAGGGTTACAGATTTATGCATTATTTGTCATCTTTAGGACTAAATTAGTCAAATTTGTGAACATCATTTAACAAAAAGCTTCTCGCGCATTGATTTAAGATCATTAAACGATTGAAGTTGAAATGTCGACTCCTAAAAAAACTCAACTTAACTGCTAAATTTTTATCTATAGCGACATATCCTTTACGATACTTTCAAAATTTTAAAAAAATTCATGTAATTTACTTACCGGATTCTCATAGAGAATGTATTAATATCCTTATCTAATTGATCCAAAAGCGCAATAGATTGGATAATCATATTGTCGACTCTGTGTACATTGAACTTTATCTTAGCACGAGAATATGAATGACCTAAACCCAATTGTGCAACAGCAGAACTTTTCGCAGTAAAACCTTTTACAAGATTATGGAAATGATGACGAATACCTGCAAAGCATTCAATCAATTTACATTTACTAATGTTTTATTTACTAAAAGTTGTAAATGCCTCAATTTATTCAAAGTTGAAATACATACCTCTAATGACTTCAGGTACAGCACCAACATGTGTACAATTTAAACCCAGACCTTCAGTTATAGCAGCAGACAGTTTAGGATCACTAACTCCTAAAGTGACTTTGTTCTTTTTCCCACCCTTAGGAATCGTTATGTCCAAAAATTGTTGCAAATCTTCTGGTAGAATTCCCTCAGAAATGGCATTTACATTTTCTAGAGCTGCCACAGCAGTTTTAAAGGGAGAAAACCCGACGAGTTTTACAATACTATTAAAACGACCCAGATCGTGTACGGCAGCTTCTAGTTGGGGTAATAACATGCCAACTTCCTCAAATTCCTCAACTTTGAATACGGCATACCCGGCTGCATGTTCAAACAAAACGTACAACTTCGTCTAAAATATGCGAAAATGAGGTTATGTTGACAAACAATGATTTAAGATTATTTAACTTTTTCAATTTTAAAGCAACTTCTTTCAATAAATTAAGTATTTACTTACCATTTTAATTTAATTCATCCAATAATGGCACGTGCAAAAAGAGTGAATGCATCCACGCGCCACGCGTCTGGACGAAAAGATTGGAGAAATTTGTGGTTCAAAGTTCACAGTAAATATAGATGCTGGACAGAAAATATAAAATAAAATTGTAAGTGAGAAAAAGTTACATCTCTGTTGTATTTATAATATCAGTATTATAAATTATAGATGAAAAATATTTCTCACGCCGTAAAACAAAATTAACCTAGATTTAAGTTGTAGTCTAGATGTCGCTATCATCTACCACAGACGGATCTTTTATCCGGATCGTATTATTCGAATTAGTGATGGGCATAATCGACCAATTTTGATAATCGAGTTATCGGTAATCGAGTACTTCTAATAATCGAGTGATCACTCGAGATACGAGATATTGGTCGTTTTCATCCCAGCGGCGCACAAATATGTTTGTATTAGTCATATATTACTTATAAGCGTAGCTAAAAAAAAAAAAC